ACAGACAGAGACAGACAGAGACAGACAGAGACAGACAGAGACAGACAGACAGACAGACAGAAAGAACAATAGAACTGAAAAAGACAGAGCAAGCCAAAAAGGAACCAACCGTAAAGCAAAAGGTCGCAAAATGAAGAGAAAGAAAAGAGAAAAGAATAGCAAGCGCAGTAAAGACAAAGAAAACGAACATGTAACATGTAAATCAAAAGCATCAGTGGGAAGCGAAAAGAATTGAACAAAATCCTTTTAGTCTAACGCAGTGCCATACGTTTAGCTGAGGTTAGCCGATTTCCCTTGTGTCGGTTAGCAGAACATAGCACAATGAAATGTCAATTGCTGATTGCAGCCTGTTGTATCAAGCTATTATCTCGATTAAGCTTCCCTCTTCGCAGCCTCAGCCAACTTGATTGCTGGGGCCTTATACATAAGGGTTCTCACTAGAAACCAACCATTGAAGAGTCTTGCCCGCGCCGGCTGAGGCAATGGCCGCTGTGCGCATCGAGGTCGAGTTCGCCCACTTTGCATGCTGCTCCTGCGGTGCCTCGCTGGCAAAGCATGAGCAAAAGACATGCAAATAGAGACAGAAGAAAGAAGAGAAAGAGAGAGAGAGAGAGGGAAACAAAGAAAACAAAGGAAAGACACAACAAAAGTGAAAGATCAAGCAAGAATCAACACAAGCAAAGGAATAAAGACCACACGAACGTGTCGACAAAATAAGGTGCTCGGACCGTTGGATTGGGACGCCGCCGCCTGGTGGAACACCTTGCGCTGCAAGGCTGGACACACAAAGCACGCAACGCACTTAGAAACCAGTCCATAGAGTCGGATATCGCCCGCTTGTTCGGATTGCCTCCTCAACCTCGGCTACCAGGCTTGGCCGGCAGAATGCCTTTCTCCACAGGATCGGGGTCGATGTTACCACTGAGGTCGTCGACGGCGAGTCGGATGATGAAGGGATGGTTGAAGAGGAAGAGGAGGCGTGAGAAACGGTTCCAAGCACATAACCGAAACGATGGTCTGAGCATTGCGTGCCCCAGGCCTTCGAAGATGCCACTGTGGTTCCACCTGCCTGCCCCGTAGAATCTGAGAACCGCCGGTGATCGCACTGCGCGCTGAGCGCAGCATCAGGTGACGTGTCGGACGGCGAGTCCGACTGGAGCACGGAAGTGCACACCGAGTCGCAGGCTCAGCGCCTTGAAGTTCGGGCCGATCGATTCCTGACGTGACACGTCTAAGGGACCCAGAAGTGGAGAATGGGCAGCTTTGAGAGAAAGACGTCTGTGCGAACGCGGCGCCCAAACCAAGGCCGCCCATTGGATATGAAGAAGAGGATCACGATGGATGCCTGCGAGTGTTGGGCACCCAGCCTGCAGGGACACCGTTTCAAACATAACTTTCTGTGGCTGGCGCCAGGCTCCTCTTATGAGAGGTCGCCCGGCGTTTCACCCCAGGCCCGCGACTTCTAACAAAAAAGTGCGTGGCCAAAGCAGACGCAGTCCGATTCAGCGAGCCAACTTTGGTTTATGTGCAGTGAATCCATTTCTGTCTTAAAAATCAAATGCCACCTGTTCTGCTTCTTGACCGTTTCTTTCTGTCGACTTGGTTTCTTTGCTTGCGGGTTCTCATACATGCCCTGTCAAGGAACGTGATGCCTGGCTGAGACAGCGGCACTACGCTCAAGGGACGGTCTTTGGACCAAAAGCGGGTTTACTTGGCCAACCTTTGCGCCAAAGCCGAGCTTCGTTCAGTTCTTGGTGGGTCTCCCACATTCTAAGAGCTATGACAGGCAGCAATGGAGTCCAGAATCCCCATCAAAATCATCGAAAGATAGTGTTCCGCTTTTTTCTCCTCAGGATGTGTGGAAGAGGCGATTGTGGCTGCTTGCAAGCCTTCAAAGCATGCGAGCATTCAGGTGGTTGGGGCCGAGTGCTGCGATGGCATTTCATGTTGACAGACAGACAGACAGGTACAGACACAGACACAGACACAGACACAGACACAGACAGACACAGACACAGACAGACACAGACACA